TCAGATTTGTCACACATTGTCTGCTACATGTGTGTGTGTGTGTGTGTGTGTGTGTGTGTGTGTGTGTGTGTGTGTGAGTCTGCGTGTGTGTGTGTGTGCGTGTGTGTGTGTACACATGCAACAGTTCATTTGTGCGTGACTGTGTGTCGCCAAAGAGTAAATGTTAGAAGGCCAAGCAGCATTAGCGTTACCGGGGTGATAGCACAGGAGTGTAAACCCAGGGGCAATATAAAACCTGTGCTTTCCCAGAATGCCTTTGCAATGGGCATGTATGCCAGCTCGAGTTGCCATGGAGATGGGGAAGTCCTAAGGGGAACACGTCCTTGCTCAACCTTTTCTCTCTTGACCCCATTTTAATATAGTTCATGTGGTCATGCCTGTCCATGCCTCCCTATGAGTCTTGAACTCACACAGTCAGTGTGTGTGTGTGTGTGTGTGTGTGTGTGTGTGTGTTGTCTGTCTGCACATAGAGAGCCCAGATATCTTGAGTTCGACAGGATAATAGTTCCTTTCACTGGCTGTAAACTTGGATCTCCTCAGCAGCCACACATCCTGGCAGTGTGTTCGCTTTACTCAATCTGAATGAACACAAGTTAGAAGATTTACTTCCTGGTTCATGCCGATTCCTGAGTGAGATCAGTTTATTCACATCTTCATCTTAGAAGGAAAAAAATCCCACTATCATTCATTTAAGAAAGCAATGCAAAGACTTTCACCAAGAACATATTTATAATGCATGAAAAAAATAAGATTATTGTGCTTCAATGTTTAGAAAACAAAAGCAGAATTTTGATACAACCTTGATCATGAGCAAACAGAGGAAAATGGGACAAGATGTAACAAATAAACTAATTTTATTTGTTTTGTCTGGTTATTTTGTTTTTGTTTTTTTTATTTTAATATTAATAGTTAAAATGATTAACTTATGATCCATATAATCTGCTGGTAATCAGAGTGAATTGCTGAATTACATGTTATGTTTAAAACATGTCTGAAAACTTATTTCCAATCATTGGCCTTCAACCGAACTGAAACTTGATTTTACCTTAGCTTTAGTGGTATTGATTTTATTGGTCTTAACTGTATATTTTTTATCTGCTTATGTTGTTTTATTGGGTTTGATTTGAGTTTTTAATTTATTAGAACTTTGTTACTTTATTTTTATACTTTATCTAATTTAATAGTGATCTTCCACACAGTTTCAGCTGTGACTGCTGTTAATAAGACACTTAATAGACAAAGATGATGATAATGATTCATTGTTTTGGAATGGAGCAATTTGCTTTCACACTGCACTGTGAAGCCAATCAAACCCCTTGAGCAACCAGTTCCTCCCCTCACCTGTGGTGGCGCTGCATCAAGAACAATTGAAATAAATGATACAAAGACCTCTGAAGAAGACACTGAGCGCAACTTTCTTAAACAAAAAGAGTGGCATCAGATTTTAGCGGTTGTAGGATTTCTCTTTTGCCTTCGATGAAAGACCACGAGCCATTTCTCCTGCTAGCACTAGACACACATGTTTGTTTTGGTTGTGTTTACCCAGAATGCCCTGTGCTGTAGTCCAGTTCCAGTTTTTTTGGAGCGGTTTCTCTCCGCTTGGCGTTCACATTTCTCTTCAAACACTGAAGCTGAACTGAGACCTAGGTTTACTGGAGGACCAGAGTTTCCTTTTTTGGTCCGTATCAGAGTTTGATTACGCATTCACACCTCTCCAAACGAACCAGACTTTCTTGGCAAACTAGCTAAACTTCAACTGAAGCAAACTAAATACAGCTGGTGTGAATGCACCGGTGGTGTTTTATTTGATTTTAACGTTTCTTTGACAATCTGAAACATTCAAGTTCGACGCAAAATCAGATTGAATTTTTTAAGGGGGAAAGCACTTTTTGCATGTGTGTGTGTTCGTGTGTGGTAGATCAGTGGGCCTTATGTACTGTTGTGTCCCAGCAGGTTAAATATTTTGCTATCCGAACTCTGGGAACTGAAATGAGATTAGTGAACACAAACACTCAACTCATCATGGCCACCAGCAGCAACATTTGCACACACACACACGCACACCTAAGACTAATCTTGACTTGTGAGTAGAAAACCTTCAGATGAAACCTCCCGTCTCTGAGTTCTCACTGAGGTCTTTCCAGATCTTTGTGTTGTGACTGAAACAGCAGCAATGACTCACTTTCACATGTTTAGTTTTCTTTTTTCTTTTTTTTATAAAAAGTGTCAGTTTGAGAAACTGCTGGAAGTCATTATTCACTGCATATTGTATTTTATATTTTTAACACTCAGATATGATATACATGAAACGGATAGATCTGCTGTAAAGAACTTCACAATTCAATCCAATTCCATGCCCATATGACTCAATTTAGTTTTAAATACTTCAATAGTGATTTAGTAAAAAGTAGTATACAAATCATTGATTAGATTTCCTATTAATTTTATACATTATATGTTTTTTTGTATTGTTTTTGCTCATAAGAACAGCCATGCCGATATACAATACTTTAACAGTGGCTTCTTTAATGTTTTTGAGCAGTAAAATATCTGAAAATAAAACAGTCGCACAATAGCACTTGTGCTGAATACTGAGTTCTGTATTAATATTGAAGTAAACTGTATGTAAACATAAATAATTCTCTTTGTGATAATTCACATCATTATTAACAATTTTTTTATACAATATTGCCATTCTGACCCTCACTCCTCACCAGTTGGTGGCAGTAATGTCCACCAAACAGCTGTTTGCCACCCGGATGTGAAGTCGTCTTCTTCCTTCACATCTGAGTGTTTTATATGTGACACCAAGCAAGCAGTCGCCAGAACATCAAGTTGGTTATTTGAGCCACGAGAAACAACTTTTTTTTCTTTTTTTTTTACTGAAACCCATTAAAGGACACAACTAAGGTCCAACATGATCTCCTTTTCCGCACCATTTTACTTCCTTGGGATATTTGAAACCCTGTCATGTAATAATCTAACCTATGAAAAAGAATCTGGCTGAGTTTTATTTTGAGAGATCAACAGTAACCTTTTTGTCACTGGTTTAGTTCCATTAAAATGTGGAAGCTACATTTTCAATAAAAATATATAAATTATTGAACTTACCTTTGGGATCAATTAAGTTTTTTTATTATTTGAAAACAAGCTATGAAGTATTAAGGCTCTTATTTAGAAAAATGTCTAAGTTTTAGTTTGAAAGCCCAAATTACTAACCTGTTGACATCTGTTTTAGGAATTTGAAACCTACTAATGTAATAATATACAGTATCTACAGCATGAATTGGCTTCATTTGATGCCCTTTGTCCCTAAAAAATGCTCTAGTTCTCTATGTTTAGAGTGATCTATCATTTATTAACACTTACTTCCATTGTGTTATGTCTGATTATTCAATCACATCATTTTTAAACTCTATGTATTGCTTTACATTTTATTCCACCTAAATGTACGATCTGCTCCTGCGATGCCTGGATTTTCCTCTTGACAAATGTAAAAGGCTTATCTTATCTCACTGCATCTCATACACTGACTGTCAAAACACACACACACACTCACATACACACACAGACTGAGCCACATGAAAGCAAAACAGCAACAAGTTGGGTCTTGTCATCTCCATAAGTGTGGTCTATTTTTGTTATTTTTCCCGTCAAAATTATATCTTGTGAATCTATTTCTGTGCATAAGCTGTTAACTGTAGTTTTCACTGTGAATTTAAGGAACTTGGAGACAAAACCTTCTTGTTTCCTTGTTCATCTGCACTGCCCTTCATATGAATAAATAGCAGATTCAAACTGACGTACTACCAAGGATGGCAGAGATTTTTTATGCGTTTACATTTTTTTACACACGTTTCTAGCATAATTCAGCCTGACATGTTTCATGTAATTGAAAAGCTTGGGATCGACCTCATAACACTTTTTCAATAAAGGTGTAACTGCAAATGCTTATATTTGACTATAAAACTAAATTAAAAGTGAAAGACAAATTTACTAATTTTGGTAGATGGCAAGAAAAAGTAAAAGATAAAAAAATATATTTAGTTTTCTGGTTTTTATTTCCTTTTTTCCCTTTTTAATTTTTTTTGTTTTATTTATTTGTTTTACAAACTTACAGTAACTATTTAGTAAGACATGGTTTCACCAACATAAGAATAATTACAACAATGATATTGCCCAAAGAAGGCAACGACAACAGAAAGGATCCCAGTCCAGAACCCTGAAGACCACCAATATTAACAAAATAAGGTTAATAAGTCATCATTATGGACAAACTGGAATCCATCAAATGTCATTTAAACCAAGAGACTTCCATGTTCATGTTTTTGAATGAATAATTTTCCTCATACTACTCAGTCTTCATCTCGTTCTCTTTAGTCTGCATCACGTCAGTCATGAAGCGTTAGTAGTTTCACACATACCCCTGTTTATTACCCACATGTTGTATAAAGTTCTGCTGAGTGAGTACTGCAATGGTGTCGTTTGTCTGATTATTTGAATGTTTCCGGTTTTAAGCATAGACATTCTGCAGCCAAGCTTTAAATAGCCACGTTAGCCACAGAATATTTGGTGGCGAGGCCAAGCAGAGAGGTGTGTGTGGTGTGAGCCAGGCGTGTGTGTGTGCATGTTGGACAGGAGCGGTGAGTGGCATGGGAGGGCAATAGTGAATGACTGCACTATTGCATCCTCCCAGGAGAACTCTAAAACACGTGCGCACACACACGCACACACACACGCACACACATACACATACATGTTTGGCTATCTCTGTGAGGACTTTCCATTGACTTCCATTCATTTCTACAGTCTAAACCTTACCCTAACCATTACATGCCTAACCCTAACCCTATCCAAAACTCCAAAACTCAATTCACACCTTAGTCCTAAAGTGATCCTTGTGGGGACCAGTCTTCAGTCCCCACAAGGAGCAGTTGGTCCCCACAACGTAGTATGTGTCAGGAAAATGGTCCCACAAGGTATTACAAACAAATGCACACACATGTATACACACACACACACCACATAGTATGTCTATCTTCACAAGTGCTTTGGATTTACTTCTATTAATTTTTCATTCAGGGTCAGCCTGACCACAAACACTAATCAGAATTTCTTCTTATGGGTCCCGGCCTTTGGGACCTATAAGGAGCAGTTGTTCTTCACAAGTTGAGTATTTGTTGGAAAAAATGAATCTTACAAGGTGAGAAATGCTAAAACACACTTACACACACACGCACATATAAACAACACTTCAGCGGCTCACTCAACCCGCCTACTTCATCCCCCTCACGAAAACGAAGATTTAAAAAAGAAGAAGAAGAAGAAAACCTCCCATCCTGGTGGCATACCTCTCCATCCTGGCACCGCCCCTCAGCTAAAGTCAGCGCTCACGGTCTCTTCTCATCAGACTTACGGAGAGACGGCGGCGTGTGTGCAGGGGGGCCGCTCAGGCTGTGCGCATGTGGCAGGGCAGAGCCGACAGGACGGGACGGACTCAGCGTGTCAGACCGGCGCAGAAGGAGGAAGAGCTCGTTGACCTCTCCGCGCGCTTTCAGTAATGCGCAGCAGAAAAGGAAAACAAACAGACTGAAAAACATCAAGTTAAAATTTCTTTCTTTTTTTTTTTTTCTTCCTTTTTTCTAAATATACTTCATATATATCTGAGCGCTCTGTGCCGTGGCGTGGAAGCTGCCTGTGGCAGAGGACGGGACGGGATCCCCTGGATGCGGGACGATGGATTAACATCCCGCAGTCTGGTTTACTCTCCGTCCTTCGAGCCCCTCTTACCTGGGGATTATTCGGCCCGTCGGACCTCCAGTCTCTGCCTCTCGAGATGAGTGAGGATCTTGTTCTGCGCTGCGTCCTGATGCTCTGCTGCGCGCTCCTCTCCGTCAGCGCCAGCAACTGGCTGTAAGTTTCTGAGCCTCCAGTTTTGTTTTCATTTCTCCTGACCGGAGCGCTGCTTCTCACTTCTCCCTGCATACTCACGGCGCGCGCGCACTTACACAATCGCACACACCTGTTCTCGTGCTGTTTTCATTCTGATCTCCGCATCGCCTGTCCTCTTTACCTCCGGCTCAGCGGCCGCTCAGGTTAATTATTAACCATCTCTCTCTGTCTCTTTCTCTTTCTCTCTCTCTCTCTCTCTCTCTCTCTCTCTCTCTCTCTCTCTATCACACACACTCTATCAGAGGTTTAATAGCTGACACTCTTACGGAGGGGAGTAGAAAACGTTTGCACAAAAAAAACTCAGCAAAACAAAGAATCCGACATGTTTATTCTTAAAAGGAGAACTTTTCAGTGACAACTTAAACTGTAGACGGCTATAATATTTATACAATTCGTGGAAAAATAAGTTGCTGAAATATTTTGATAAAAGAGATATTTTTCCTTTTTTTCATCTAAATATTTTTGGACCAGTTCTCCAGCTTCACTGGACCAAGACAGGACAAAAAAAAAAAAAAGATGAAATGTTTAAAAATACCGTTAGAGGTGTGGGATACCGCATAGCTTTGGTATCGATCTGATGCTAAATGAACACAGGGTCATTTGGCACCTTAGGGCTGATGCAATGCTTTCTATTATTTACATTCGACATACGTCCAGGTATCTTTGTGGTTTTTCTTCTGTATTATTTTGTTAAAACCTCAGAGAATTTTGACAAAACTTAAACGTGTCCACAAAATGTTTTAATAATAAATTAGCTCAAGAAACAGGAACACATAAAAATAAAAAAATATATAGTGTGCATTTTTTTTCCTAAAACAAAATGCAAAACAAACTTATTGGTTTGAGAGCAACTCAAAACAAAATCAGTTTTTAGGTCGATTTGAGAAACTAAATAAAAAACAAAAATAAAATAAAATTTTGTGTGGAACTAGCATCAGTTGTACCACCCTAGTGAAATCGATATCAATATTGATATTTGGATTGATGCGCCCGCCTTCATCTTCCACTTGATAACCTAACCAATTATTCCTGCTGCCAAAATGATGTAAGATATTGATTATTACAGGTATGGTCCTTGTACTTGTAAGTGAGGGGAATTGTAATCGTCTGATGAGACAACATGCAGCATCAGGTGGACATTTGGCTCCATTTAGCTGCTGAAACTGGACAAGCTGCCACTTTATGTTCATGATTTTAGAAGAACTCTCAGCTGGGGGGAATTTTGTCATTTTTGTATCTGTGAGGATGAATAACCTCGGTTTAATCTGAAAAAACAAACAATTTAAATAACAATAATAATAAACACCATAAACTATCTGCATTTAGTCAAAATTTAGGAGAAGAAAAATAAATCTAACTAACTACTGTCACAACATATTGACTTTTAGTTGTATCTAATTTTTTTATTATTGTAATTTTCATTTTGAAACACACATTGGAAGGAAACTAAAGAATTAAGTTGTGAATCTTTTTGCTTTGAAGCAACAGGACAGTGAAAGTTGTCTTTCAGCTGACCCAGAGTGCACAGCAACAGGTGGGGGAGGGGCCACACTGCGTTACATTATGCATTACTGATATAAATTTGCTATAAAAGTATTACTGATTGCACTTTAAAAATTAGGTAACTTTATGTTATTAAAGGTAAAGTTTAAACAGTCATGATTTCTTGGTTAATGTCAAGTTGTCATAACAAAGACATTTTGAATAATGTCAACTTTGTATTAAAAGTGTCATAATTTACCGAATGACGCTTTATGACAACAGTCATAAATATTCATGAAGGTTTATTGATGTTCATGACAGGTGTTATGTCACCTTTATGAAAGTGTCATGACAGTCTTATTCAACCCCCTTCAAATAAAGTGTTACCGCAATTTCTTTACTAAAGGCAAATGTGATTGTTTTGACAAAGTTTTCTTTAAATATATTACATAGAACTGGATCCATAATGGAGACAGATACTGAGGGTTTCTGTATAAAAACACACCTTTGTGTCTTTATCCGAAACAGAGAGGATGAAAAACAAAAAAGCTAGAAATTCTTTGTTTTTAAATTGTCCTTTATAGAAATGTAAATCATTTCTAAGTATTACATCCTGCTTGTGGATGAAGCTGAGGTTCATATTAGACTAGAGGCGTAAAGCAGCGAGTCCCTGCTGGGCCGGTGTGCCGCCTCCTCCTGGGTCCTGGGAGCCGGTCGGTTGGGCCACATGTGTGTGCCTGCTCTCCCAGCAGACCTGTGGGAGGTGTTTAGCTCACTTTCTGCATTCCTCTTCAAGCTCCGCTCCATTCTCTGCTGCCATTCATTTCCATTACCTCCAGAAAATCTGTTCGTTTTAGAGGTCGACCTCTTGTTTGTCAGTTCCTCCTCCCCCCACACCCTTTGCTTCGCAGGTGATACAAACTATTCCTGCCGAGATCCATTATTAGCTGACAAATCACCGCTGTCACAAACGTCTGCTGTAGACGTCGCATGTTTCCTCGTGACGGCGACCTTGTGAGATTTATAACGGCCCTCTTGTGTTTGCGTCGGGATCGTGCCGCAGATGGTCTAACTGACGCTGTTGACAGATTCATCAGTGGAAGTCAAATTAAAGCCATGCCAAACAGCTCAAGCTGCCTTGAACTCTGTCACTGGGTGCAGGATAATTGTGCTGTTTGGGAGCTGAAGGTGTGGTGACAGCAGCACACAGCAGGACGTGTACGGGCAGGCCGCGGAGCTGCCGCTCTGCTCTCTGGGATTTACACTGTTCAGACGAATCTGTGTGGTCCGCAGCAGAGTCGTCAAGGCTTCAGCAAGGGTCAAAGGATGGCCAGCAGTCAGAAGGACTGTTAACAAGCAGCTATAAAACATGAGACAACTACATGTAAGCAATGGCTTAATGGATGTGGCCCCCAAAAGCCCCCAACAGATCACAAGAACTCAATGAGAGGAGATTAGATCGGACATCAAGATGATTCAGCTTCCCGTGTGAGGTTTCGTTTTTCATCCTTGCTGTTTAACTGGCTGCATGTTGCAGCTGCAAGGTCGCGCTGTTATGGTTCTTCTCTAACCTTGCATCGACCACACGAAGTGCTGGGAATGTTCATTTTACCTTGGATGATACGATACATAGTTCACCTTGACATAGGAAAGGGCTTTCCTATATCACTCAAATTCAGATTTCTTTCAGACAATGTGCTAATTGTTGCTAATTATGTTGCAAAAATACTAAATCTTACCATTTAAGTGTTTCTAGTGCAAATATCTTCGTACATTTGAAATAAGGCAAAACTAACTTGCAAGTAACTCTTTGATAAGATGTAACAGCTTGGTTTAGGTCAATAATTCATGAATATTGATCAAAAATATGAGTTCCACTGGCAGATTTTTTTTCACTGATAGCACAGTTAAAAATGTATTATCAGTGAAAAAGTATCTCAATGTAACTAATGCTTTTCCATGGATATTAAGAAATTATTTACTTAAAACATGCTACTATATCTTGTGGAAAAGATATAGACTTGTTAGCTGGCTTTGCCTTATTTCAAGTGTACTAAAATATGTACTAAAATATTTGGACCAAAACTACTCACTAAGATTTTGTATTTTTTGCAGTGCAATCTAATTAAAACAGATATCAAAGGTGTTAGGGATGCATGATATATTGGAACTAATATCAGAATTGGCCGACATTACTCATGTTTAACACATGGTTATCCCTCTGATAAATAAAAATGGGCTGATATTAACAGTATGATATTTATTTCCCTCTTGTTGATGTTTGTTTCTATATTTGTTTGGTTACATGACAGTGATAGTGATGCAGCACAGGATTGTGGGATTGTGTGTTTAGCTGAATCAGAGAAGCAGTGGTGGAGTCAGCTGTGGTCATTTTTTTCAGCGATATACACACATTTCCAGTAAGTAGTGGTTGTCAAACTTAGCAGTAATTGTGATCTCAGATATCAATGTATTTAATGTTAGGAAAACTTTCAAGATCAAAATTATGCTGCAAGAAGGCATTTATTCCAAATATTTTAGATTTTGCATCAAACTAATGTCTGTCTTTTTCTGATTTCTAGAAAACTCTTCAATCATGCATGTCTGCAGTACATTGACAATTTCCCAGTGACTCTTTATAGCGTGATGTGTGATTGTGACGTATCTCAGTGTACCACTAAATGTGCAGGTAATGGTTGTTATGGCGATTCTTTCTGCCTCCTTGCCGTGTGAACAGCTTGCTGTGCTTACATATTGTTTGTGTCTTGTTTGTGAGTCTGTCTCAATTTGCTGTTTCTACTCCAAAGCAAAAATGCTGCCAAACAAATGATTTCAGAATAGTTGCGGCCTCTTCTGTTACAACTTGCTAAGGTGACGACTACAACCTGCGTCAGAGTTGATTCTGCATGGCTCCTCAAATGAGCCGGACTTTCTAGGTAAACAAACCAGTTCGATTAATCGTCTTTTCCAGCCTATAATGTCTTTTCCAGCCTATAATGTAAACTTGACTTTTTGGAGCTTTAAATGAAGTTCTAATGTTATTCCTTCATCAAAAATATACCTGAGTGTTTCTTTGATTCTTTCATGCATGTTGGAGACATCCTTTAATCTCCATGGCAATCACTCAGCTGTGCAAATCACTTGGTTGGACCTAACGCCCCCTTCAAGGCTCAGCTTCTCCTCAGAGCTGCAGTTTCAAAGCTTCTGAGTGTCTGCCTCACAGAGCAGCCCTCAACTAACAGCTCCCCACTCAGCTCCTTCAGACTAGCAACCAGCAATTATAGCAAACACCCGGTGGTATTGTGCATCAGCTGAGCTCATTACACGAGGTATTTCTCAACAAAATGCTGGTAAAACTGTTGCTAAAGGGTTAATACAGGGGCCATGTTGTGATGATTTCCTGACTTTCAGAAAGAGCAGGAGGTTTTAAAGAGACAGAGGCCTAATTTCAAGGCATTAAATTAGGAAGTCAGATTTAT